TTCTTTTTTTTGCAGAGAAGAGCCCGTCGGAGCGGAGCTGGAGTACCTCGGTGACCCTGATTGCCTTCCTCGCCACTGCGGGTCTGCCTGCACCGCGTTGCCTCGCCACTGCACCGACCCGCCATGGCCCCACTAGCCTGAGTCCACCGCCACCCTAGGTACTCAACAACAAGGCGGAGCGGGTGAAGTAAGAGATGTGGGTAAGTCTTCCTCGCACTACATTGCTCAATACATCGCATTCATTGGACATTCTTGAAATAATGAATGGATACAGCGTGTTTGTATGCATGATTTCTTTAGATGCCAGGACGGACATGAGGCCAGGGCGGATGCGGTGGCTACCAAATGCTGCAAAAAACTCGTCATGGACATGCATACACCATGGGACCGTCCTTGGAACAAAGGTCACCAAAAGGGACGCAAGAACCATGACGCTGACCCGGGACCAGTACCTGCAGGTAAATCCAGAACATTAATACTGATTCCTTTTAAGATTAAGTAGGCTTAATTTCATCTTTTGATATGTCATGTACTTGATGGCCTGTAGATGATTCCTTATTGGTGCACCGCGCATCCCCAGTGCTGAGTACAGATGGTGGACAAGTGGTGTTCACGTGAGTGGGAGGAGACGCACAACTTGTGCTAGGAGTGGCGTTTGATGATGCCAGGTGCAGCACACCATCAAGGCAGACGCAGCCTCAGTGGATACACAGAAACATGGGTACGCGAATTCATTTATTTATTCTAACGCTCAATTCTGCATGATTTCTAATCATCTTGCTGTTTTTCTCGTAGTCGGCGTCACATGGTGGCCAGCCTTGCTCCATCTTCAAGGCATTTGCTATGGCCCACAAGGGCAAGGCGACGTCCAACGTTGACTACAACTCGAAGGACGGGCCCGAGCCATATAGCAATCTGACCGTCCACAACCGCCTCAGTGTGTACACATCGATGGCAAGGGAGGTCCATGGGCCAGAGTACGAACCGAGCACCAAGGACCTTGATGGAGAAGTCGTCATGAGGGTGGGAGGAGGCAAGAAGCATGGGTGGTACTGGATTGGCGACGACGCAATCGACTCGGCTGCTACTCCCAGTCCCTCCTAGATTCGAGCAAGCAGCACGAGCACGAGCCCGGCCATACGACCTCGGCAAGACACTTCACACCACCGGGTGGAGGCACTCGAGGTTATTCCTAGTTTATTCGTCGTTCATTGGTTTTTTTCATACCTTTCCTTTGCATTATTGTAACATTGGGGTGAATATATTGTAGGCCCAGCTGGAACAAGAGAGAAGGATACGGGAGTAGATGTAGGCGAAGATGGAGAGGGTGGAGGCCGAGCGGGAGACCGAGCAGCGGAGGATGGCGGAGATTCTTCAGTACATGCAAAGTCTTGGCACTGCTACGGGTGTAGTTCCGCCACCTTCGCTATTCGCTCCACCTCCACCTCCACCTCCTCACTACTCTACTCTTGTGAGTATAAATGTTTTAGGTTGTATGTTCATGTTTACGGTCAAACCTAGTGGAGTATGAAAGTTTTATTCATGTATGGTATATATTTATCTTGTCTCACACATGCAATCTCTTCTCCTTTGTGCAGAATCAATCGGCGGCATCGAATGATCCTCATGCTTCAGCGAATCCTTAACCAAATCAGTCTCATTGGCCATCTTGGTGATGATACTTGTGGTTGTTAATGATACTTCTATTTACAATTGTGGTTGTAGATGATGGAGCACTTGGATTACTTGTGAACTTATTTGTGATATATTATGAGACATGTGACGTTTGTGATATATATGTGACGTTTGTGATATATATGTGGTGTTGGTGATATATATGTGATGTTGATGATATATATGTGATGTTGGTAATGTTTGTTATATATATCTTCTGTTTGTTTGGATGGGATGTAAAAAACAAATAGAAAAGGCTGTTTTCAGTCACTTTGCCGAGTGCAATGGCCATGACACTTGGCAAAGTGACTACCTGGGAACATGCTTTGCCGAGTGCAAAGGCCATTGCACTTGGCAAACATCATAGATTTTCCGAGTGCCACGGGCCAGGCACTCAGCAATGGTCGCCTGTTTGCCGAGTGTCTTGACAGGACACTCGGCAAATAGGCTACCTTTGCCGAGTGTCTTGCCGGTGGCACTCGGCACAGTGGCCACCTTTGCCGAGTGTCTGAGTCAACGGCGCTCGGCAAAGCGGCGACCTTTGCCGAGTGCTTGACCTTGACACTTGGCAAAGCCGCCGTCACGGTGGCGCTCGCCGTCACAGCGACTTTTCTTTGCCGAGTGTCAGATTAGCACGCGGCAAAGGCTTTGCCAAGTGCCCGATAAAGTGCACTCGACAAAGAGACCTTTGCCGATAAAATGTTTACCGAGCGCCCTTTGCCGAGTGTAGGCTTTGCCGAGTGTATATCGGCCTTTGCCGAGTGCCTGAGGCACTCGGCAAAGAAGCTGAATCCGGTAGTGGTTGGTTAGACTATGTCGGGCAAGTACAAATTATGCTTGGAACTGACTACTTTCATACCCAATGAAAAACAATAGAAAATGACAACAACTCAAAACAAAATATGAATCGCAAAGCAATCTAGATCATCCATATTTGACTGAAAATAAGACAAATAACTAGCTTGCTTTTATATAGTTACCAAACAAATTAGGTCGAATAACTATATTGTTAACAATTCTAAAGTATACTAAATCAATGGTTGTATATTTTGAATTAGTTCTCTTTCACGTTTATCAATAAGAGCAGTAGTAGATTACTTAAAAAGCAATGAAAACCTTAACAATTTAGTTGTAGGTTTTGAGGGTTAACACTATTCTTTTGTGAAATTGTTGTGGAACACTGTACTTTTTTTCTTTGCTCTAGGTACACTGGGTGTTGTCTTACAGCAAAGAAATTAGTGTCCCACAGCAAAGAATAAATATTCCAATTTCCCACAGCCAATTTTACACAAGTGGAGTGTCCCACAGCAAAATTTTCCAGGTCTGTACTTTATATGGAAAATCAAGGTTGTATTTTTCACCATGGTAGAGGTTAAAACCAATCAAGTAAAGATTAAAGCTGCAGAGTACATAGTAGAGGGCCAAAGTAATGTATTATTTGTGTGGACCTCTATGAGGATTCTAATCATAGTTTTCATTTATTTAGATGATAGTGAATTTAATGTTTAGGCCTTGTTCGGATGTTGTGGGATTCACCTCAATTCACATGTGTTGGGATGTAATTTAATTCAAGTCCCACTCCAGTCCACCTCAACACATGTAGATTGTTGCGAATCCGACTATATAGAAACAAGGCCGTACATGGTTTAGTGCTTATTGATGGGGACTTGGAGTTGTATTTAACATATGGACCTGTCTAGCTTTCTACTTTCTGCTGTGTTGTTTTTCTGTCTTCGACCTAACGAATGTAATAATTTTCCTACGCAGCAATCCACTAATATCACGGCTACAGCATCTAGAATGCATTTCCGCTTACGTGAAATTTAGAGTGGCCCCTTCACCAAAGGGAGGTATTGACATTAAGATCGGCTGTGATACCATTCATGTGCCAAAATGTTTCAGGTGTTGCTCCCCCTCCTCCCTCCCACGCTATCTATTTATGTAATAGTTAGTAACTTTTGATTACCTTATCTGGAAAATTCTTCATTGTAACCAGTGCACACCACCCGCTCATCCAAATGGTGTTGTTTGCTGACAAGTACGACGACGGGAACAATTTTTACTGCCAGAAATCCATGGCGCCAAAGAGTATTGTTAAGATGGCAAATACCTCAAGCTCCTCTGCTTCACGTATTGAGTACGAAGCTGGTTGGATTTCTGCGAATACCAAATCGCAGTCACCTAAAGCAGTTTTCCCTGAATTTGGTTATGGAAAAGGAGGAGGCAGGGACAATGATGTGCGGTCTGTGCCGTTGCTTATTGACACAAGGAAGGAAGGAAGCAGCACCGTTTCTGCAATGCCACCAACTGGAAATGATGGCTTCGTCACTACAAGAATCTTGGGATTGTATGACAAAGCGTAATCGTCATGTTAAGGGCAGATATTGTCATAAAAAGAAATTTGTGACGAAAAAGTGGTCGTCACGCTGTTGTCACAAAACGAACGACACAAAAAGTACCGCGTGACGAAAAATGGAAGGCCGTCACAAAATGTCAAGACCTTTTGTGACGGTTGAACTTATTCGTCACATATTCGTATAATTTGTGACGCCAGCTGTCGTCACATTAGAGTGGTCAACGCGTCATATAATACATGACCTGTCACAAATTGAAAGTAGCCAGTGTTGACTGGAGAACTTTTTGTGACGACTCCTAATCGCCATACATCATTATGTGACAATTTCCTCCGTCATGTTAGGTATGGCTTCGGAGAAAATGAGGAGTTTTTTGTGACGTCATTTGTCATCATATAATATTATGTGACATTAAGGTTTTGTCATGTTTTGTACTCGTTTGATAAAGTGAAGCAGTCTTTTGTGACAAACAGAGGCGTCATATAGCATTATGTGACAGTTAACTTGTGTATTGCTTTGTATACATATATATCTAGCAGATCGTCACGAAATGTCCTTGCATTCAATGATGACTGCAGCACAGATCTCCATTACAGGTCACATACACACAGATATACACATACATCTTAGAGTCCATCATCCACAAGATTGTATCAGTAGGCATCATCCATCACAGCCATCAGAACTCATAAGTCATACAGAACTGAGGCAAACCATCATACACATTGCAACTGGAAATATAACAAGTGCTTGCAAGCAAGAGCAACACCAAAGTTTCTGGTTCCATCATTCCATCATACAAGTTCAAACTGTTCAACCACAACACACAGGTTCATACATAGTTCTGACAACATAGTTCACAAACATAGAAACATAGTCCTCAAAGTGGCAACAGAGAAAGTTTGTTGTTCAAGCAAGGTAGCAGAAGATAAGGCATAGGCATTGTGAACATGGAGTGCATCCAGACCTACCTCAATCTTTCTGGAGTTTCAGCACCGCTCGCAGCAGTGCATTAGTCTCATCAAACCGTGTACTCATCCCCTTCACCTCTTCTTGGGTCTGGCGCAACAAACTTTGGTGTTCTTCAAGAGAGGCCTGCTGAACTCGAAGCTGTTCCTGCAACTCTTCCTGCTTCCTTGCAGCATCCTCTCTTTCTGCTTGGAGTGTTGCCTGAAATTGAGCTTGCAAGCGGGCTTCTACTACAGCTGTTGTGGACCGGGCAGCACTCTGCGCTTTAGTGACACCAATGTTTGGGAGGAATGTTGAGGAACGGCTGATCTGGCTTAGACTATCAGCAACAATCTTTGATGGAGACTTTGGTGCTTCTCCTTCTTCTGGTTCTCTTGCCTTCTCTGCAACCATTTGTGCCTACATATAATGATTCCACTTGTTAACAAGGCCATACAACAGTGTTCAATCAGGCTTGAATTTGAGTACAGTACATGTATGCAATAATTATTGATAACTTACATATATGTCATCCGCAAGCTGAGTACGACCATTTTGTGGACTGTTCATACATTCCCCAAAGAATTCAACAGGATCTGGCTCCATGTTGTTGTACTTAGGCCTCTGCATCATGTAAAACACAATTTTCAATGATATCCAAGAAGGTAAAGTGAGGGGTGCAGAAACATGAGATTATTTGTACATGTCAACAGGAAGATGACCATAAATCCATCATTCAAAGACTAATACTGTAACACATGCATGGTGCAAGCATAATTCATTCAAACTCAGTTTGTCTTCATCCTACCCATGCAAGCAGCAGCAGGAGGAGGCTAATCTTACAAAAACCAGTTTGTGATTGAAAAGCATAGGTCACCACAGAAATAATCAGAGCATGTGCTAACTTGACAGTTCAAAAGCAATCGATAACTACTATGGTACAAATGTCCCATCTTTGAAGTTAATTGCGCAAAAGATATAGTTTTCGTACCAGGCTGTATCGATGGGCAATATAGGACCTAGATCCAGTCCTTTGGTGAAGCTGCACTTGCCCTCGGTTTGCTTTATTCTTTTCACTTTTCTCCTGCACCACAAATGCAATACAAAGTTTTCATTCACATGCACATAGTTGAAATTGCATATTAACGAAAACAGATGATGCAAGGCATGGACCTGATTCTTTGGGTCACACCAGTAGTCTACCAGCTTGGTCCACTCCGCTTTCTTCATCTTCGGTGGAGGTTGTTTGGCCAGCAGCTGTTCTCTTGTCAGTGATGAGTCGAAGTACCTCCTTTTGAGGTGATACCTCTGCTGCCGTACTCCCCTCTTAACGATATCAGTGCATGCAGCCCTGCTTGGTCCCTCATGCTCAACTTGCACATCCAACCTTGTCTGCAGCCACACAAATGAGTTATTAGACACAATTTTGTACATGTCATTTGTTGTATTACTTAGTACGAGCAATTGCAGAAAGATCAGAAACTGGAAACAATTTCTGTAGAGGAGTTGAAAAGAAATACTCACAGATCAGTATGATTTTAGAAAATGGTAGACAGAAGGCAAAATAACAATAAATGGTAGAAAGAAGGAAAAATAACAAATCCATATTGCATAACAAATCATTACTCAAAATCCTACAAAAGCTACTCAGTTTCCCTAGTTATGTCAGCCAGCCAGTTCTCTTTCTGTAGTTTTGAAGGCACAAAATCAAGAATAACAAGCACTATCGATAGATCAGATTGGTCATGTAGCAACACGTTCTGGAGAAAACATCCCATGCCCAACTACAGCCATGCTTGAAAATCTATCCATGGTCCAACATCTATTAAGCATAGCCAGCATATGATTTTGTGCAAGTTCCGGCTTGGTGGTGGATCCAGCTTACGTCGAGGCGGAGGTGATGGAGTCCGGGATGCCAGCTTGGTGGTGGATCCGTGGCTCGGGGTCTATCCATGGTGCATGAGCTTGGTAACCCAGTTTGTTTGTTTGTGCCAGAGGATGAACTGCCCCATAACGTCTCCGAGTAACACCAGCCCCTCGGGAGTTGCGTAGTCTATAATCCACTGCATGAACTCGGGCTTCACTATATGCACCTCGACCCTAGTGTAGTCTGGCGGTATCTTATTATTGTGGTGTAAGCCACCAGGAGGATGTGCCACACCCGTTGCCACCTCTATCATAGTGTTCTGCCGGCCACTGAGAAACACCAAGGTGCAACTAGTTGGTTCCCGTATGCGATCGATGGGGGTTGTGGCTGTAGTGGAACCTTGGCTGCTAGGAACTTTCGGAGGGCTGCCAACTAATGCAGGTTCTCCCGGCGGTGTCACTAATATCCGTGGCTCCATAGACAGTCCTTGCTCCTCCAGCGCCTTCGCAACTAGAGCCTTTACTTGGAGCTCAAGACTAGTCTCCCGATCTCTACCATGTTCCATGTACATGTGCCTGTCCTCTTCGAATCCTTGCCTCCAGGTCATCCTTTTCTCTAGCCCCCTGGTGTGGCCTATGTGCTCCTTGTTTCCCAAGCCAAGGCTAAGCTCGTTGCTCTCTCTAGAAGGATTGAATAAGCCCTTCTCCTTGTCTTCAGCATATTTCAGTATCCTTGATACTGCCTCTTGGGTCTCCGGCTTATCAAACTTAAGATTACCGCCGGATGATTCTGTACTCCTCGCATATATTCAATTCTTTGAGCGTACCTTCAAATTCGTCACATCGATATTCCCAGCAGTTGCGGCCTCTTCGTCCATCTTCCTAAACTGCTCTTCCTTGGCATAGTAGCCACCAGAGCCTAGATGATGGTGGTGTTTGTTCCTCTTTGCCAGCTCGGTGTTATGGGCACTGAGCTCCATGCCTCCGATGAAGTCTTCTGAGCCACGAGCTCCTCCCATTGACTAGGAGTTATTTTGCCGAACTCGTTGAAGGGAGTTAACCCCTTTTGGATATACTTCGTGTTGAGCTCCGACCTCCAATGTCGAAATGACTCTCCCATCATCCTGAAAGCATTTTTTTACCAGTTCGTGCTTACCCTTTGGGAATCTAAAATTGAGCTTTAGCTACCTATCCCATAGTTCATTCTTTTTGTTCTCTGGTACCTCTTTCCAATTAGGGATTGTTGGGTTCAATTTATCTCTTACTAGGGCCCCGATCGCATTACAGAATCGTCCTCTTAATTCCTTCGGCTCAAGGATCTCCCCTGCTGGTCCGACCTCCGTTATCACATAGCATGCCTTATCTGGATATAGATTTCCTTTTCTGTCCCCTCGTTTCCTCTTAGGCTTGGTAGTTGTGGTTGTGTCTTGAGGTTGTGGAGCAGAGGCATCGTGATCCGTCTCGGTGGTTGTTGCCTCTGCTCTCCTTTCCTCTACTACGTCTTGTCTAGCGAGTTGTCACGGACGTTGACGTCGTCTTTTCCGAGTTTCAGGAGGGACCTGTATATACGATAGGTCAAAGTGTTAGCAAAGGTAACACAACCAAAGCTTTAGCAAAATTTACAAACTAAGGCTTTTTCCCTACCTCCTCATTCGGGTCAAAATCCTTGTCCAAATCTTCCTCCGTTGGCCTCCTTCTGGCTTCACGTGGGAAAGGATCATTGGGACTTACATATCCCTCTTCTGAGTCCTCATCATCATCATCATGAACTTCTTCGCCTTCAGCAGCCTCTTTTGCTCTTCCTTCTGCTTCTCCTTCCTCCTCGTCACACTGCTCCTGAGTAAGCATCACTTTTAGATCCTTTTCTAACTCGTTATCGAACTGCTCCTGAGTAAGCTGGTCCTCTAGTGCTTGCTCCTCATAGGTTGGCTGCTCATCATGCTCAGGGCATCGGGCTGCACTGTCTGGTGTCCGCGACATTATTTCGCGCTTTGTTCTAATAGATGCAAGAAAGTGTGCTTTAGGTACGCGAGAAGGTATAAGAAATCAGAAAGGTCTATAAACCAAAGTAGTCCTATAAAACAACAATATATCAAAAAACGAGAAGTAGCAGTAGTAGAGGCCTCAGAAACATGTCAATCATCATCTGATCTTGAACTTAGAGCATCAAAGCATCATAACAGAGAAGAGAGAAGGTAATGTAGAGGCGGCTGCTAATGATGCCAAGTTCCTTACAAGTTCTTGATCATCAGCTCATATTACATATAATGTATGGACTTGGACAATTTTATCATCGGCAAAACAAAGGAGAGGAGAGGAGAGGGGAGATTTGGCAAAAAAAAAGCAACAGCTGCTTAGCAAACATAGAGAGGAAAAGGTGTAAAAAAGCAACTACTGCTTTCCAAATATAGAGGATAGGAAAAATAGCCAAAAAACAGTTGACTGCTGCCACATGGTTGGAAGACCCCTGCAGATCAAAATCTGGTAACTTAGATGTGGTAAATAATGGATTAGAGTAGAGGAGGAGTAATAGTAGATAGAGTAATAGTACAGAAGTAGAGTAGAGGAGTAGAGAAGTGTAGCAGCCAGTAGTTAAGAGTAGCAGCCAGCAGCTAGGGAAGAGAGTAGAGTAGAAGCCAGCTAGTAGGAGTAGGAGAAGCTAGCAGTAGCAAGTAGAGTAGTAGTAGTTTAGTAGAGTAGAGTAATAGTAGTAGTTCAGTATAGTAGTAGTAGTAGTATTATATACAAACAGTTGTATCCAAAATAATCAGCTATAAGCACCAGTTCATTAAGAATTACAAGATAAAAACAGTGTCATCCTGGAAAAACATAGGTATTTGGGAAAATTGAAGTGGAGTAAGTATCGAAAATAACAGGGTTAGAGAGCAGTTAACACGTAAAATGGAACTTATATGTTTTAACTTAAGTTTATATTAACAAAATATTTACATATGCTATACTTCTTGCTGGATAAACTAAATTGCCTCAAAACATTGATCGCTTGCCTGTTTCTTTGACGTCCTAAGATCCATTTCATCAAACTACTAAAAATTTGACCATCAATATGATTAAAATCATGTACATAAACTGGTTATTTTTTGATAAAGGAATGTGGCTACAACTTGGACACTCAACCATGGCAAGTAAAGAAAATGATAAAAAAATAAAAAGAACAGAGCAGATTTGCTGCCATGGCAAGGTACATCTTAACTACAAAATTGTATCTCATAAGTTAAATCCGAGTGTACAGCATTAACAAGAATAACACAAGATGACAAGAAATAAGGCTAAGCCCACAAGGTTAAGCTACCTATGAACATATCTAGCCTACACAGCAGCAGAAATTTCTAGCACAGCAATAACCCCTTGGAACCTTAACCCTTTTACCAGAACAGAAAGAGTGCAGGTTAAATCATGATGTACAGCATAAAGAGTTAACAACTGGCACAAAATGGAGGAAATGCTCAACAGATGTATGGCAACCTCAAGAACAAGCCAGCCTACAGAAACGTGGCAAGTATACTGCACAAAAGGAGCACAACCTGACAGGAAGTTTAGAAATTAATATCTGGAGTTCTAGCCAACCAAAAATATTGTTCTTTAACAATTTGGAAATCTTATGAAAAACACTACAACTACTTAGTTATCCACAGGCGAGACCCAGCGCCAGACTGGGCGCGTCGATCCTGCTCTGTGCCTGAGGCTAATGGGTAGAAAGAAAGATAGGACGGACAACGGACCAGCTGCACGAGTCAAAGGAACAAAGCTTCACGCAACACACCAAGAACAATCTGCTACTAGCTGCTCCTACTTTCTGCATGCAACTTCATTGATCCTCTGTACACGGACCGTGCAGTCACTGCTGATCCGTCGTCCCGTTCCAAACAACATTGCAAATTTCTTCCACACTAGAAATTATTATTATTATCAAAGAGTTTAATCATGCTCGGCTTCCTGTTATGGAAAGGCGCCAGATTTAAGCAAAGGCCGTGTTGACCTTGATAAGCAAATGTAAGCATGGCTCAGTCAAATACAAGATAAAGACGGAAGTGGTTTCAGCATGCAGCTCTCTGCATCACAAGGCATAGGAACATGCAAGGAACCATTGAACCAATAGCTTCCAGTGCTAGTCAAGAAGCAAAGATAGTAATTGATGCAAGGTTAAGATTCTTAGCATCCAACTCTACTCATAAAAAGCAAGATTTGTTTCAGCAAATTACACCTGCAACTATAGACTCAATAGGCAGGATAACACACTCAGAATGAATGAAAATAGGCCACTGGTAATTCTAGCATGTGCAAGAAAGCTCTGCGCCATATTTCAACATCCCGCGTTACTGGCAATGTTGACATAAAGCAAATTTAGACACTATGCAAACCAATCAAGTACTATATATGGTTACCCAAGTAGCAGCACAAGGAATTATATCCGATTTGGAAAGAAGTGAAATAGACACGATACTTGAACCATAAATTTTCCAGCTAATATGCATTCACCACTCTAGCTACATACTTAAATTAAGTAGCACATGCTCTCTGTTCCACAAAGCTTGAGTTTCATAAGCCCCAGACTAGATGGCATCTTACTCCCCACAAATGTTGCTAAATTATCTAGATTAATCAGGCAACTGCTTTCAATCTGGAAGTAGCTAGATTAATCAGGCAACTGTTCATTTGGTAAAAGGTGTAAAAACCTGGTTGACATCGACAGGTAACACAAGCAACTTTTATATGGCAAGCGCTGCCATTTGAATTTACTCATCCAAAAGAATTCTGGAGCTCACAAATCCAAATTTGAAACATCTCAGGCAAGCAGAACTGCAGAAGAGCATCCCTGTATTCTCTTATTGCATCTACTACTTCAGAATGACATCTAGCAGGCAAAATTACTAAGAACAGATCATGCAAGATCAAACAGCTTCATGGTTTTCACGAATCATTTTCACCATAGCCTTGAGTGAAGTAGCATCAAACCAGAGCTAACAGCTTGATGACCGAGCAGTTCTACTAGATTAACACACAAGCTATTGAGCAGACTCGCAAGGCAAAGCTAGCAAGAATCACCAGGCGGAGGCAGGGGCGGAGATC